GCAAACTTATAGAGGGAAGATAATGATCATCAATAGATCAAGCCGTTAGTCCTTGGTGAAAGCTCACGTTAAGAAGTCGGATCACATACAAGGTCCGACAATTAAGTAATGAGGCTAATTCTATAAAAATTAAAATAATTAACATATGAAGATATAACCATTTTATTCAAAGTAAGCCTCCTCTGCATTGATGCAGTGAGTAGCACGATCTAACAAACAGTGGAATGACCTCTGTAGTTCCTCTGTTGCTATGGCCTTTAAAGTCGACGTTACGGCCCTTTGGGTGTCACGAATATCGTCAAGAAGCGTCCTTTCAATTGTAACTTTAATTTTGGGAATAGAAAATAATTACATGGAGGCAAATCTGGGAAATAAGGTGGATGGTTGAGAACACACTTGTTTTTGGGCCCAAAATTCCTGTTTTGATGTCTCTTGGGTACTCAACCCGCTTATGTTTTTGGTCATCAGACAACGAACGCGATACAGACCTGCAAGCAACTTTTTTTGGGTCAAAAATCTTGCACTTAAATTTTACGAATGGTCTCTCTATTAACACCCGATTTATCTGACATCATTCTGTCAGTAAAAAAGCGATGTTCTTATATCTGTTCTCTGATTTTTGCAATGAGTTCTTCATTACAAACAGAAATTGGGCGTCCAGGTCTAATTGCATTAGTAATCATTTCCACACCACTTTTGAATCGTAAATACCACCTGAAAATCTGGTCTCGTATTAATTTAACTATCTCAATGGCGCTTTTTCTTATTTTTATACATAATTCAATGTTAGCTTTTTGCTCGATGCTGATTTCATAACAATGCACCTCTGACTAGGTCAGCAAAATGGCGGCTCGTTTGTTGTCTGCTTATCGGGCGGCGATGAAAAGTTGCTAGATCATAGACAAAGGTTGCCTCTTTAGATTCCATGCTTTGTTTCATAGATGGCTTTTTTGTCTTGTTCATAATAAAATGAGTCTCATTACTTAATTGTCGGACGTTGTACTTATTTCGGCAGCGATATAGACAGATGTGGGAACAGAAGGATATTAAATTACCAAAGAAAGTATGGCTTTCGTAGCACTAAGGTTTGTGATGTAAATCAAAAGTGTTTAAGAAAGCTCCACTGCTTTCTAACAAACATGTTGCAGGCTGCCACTTAATGGAGGTTGCTGAAATCAGATGTGTTCGGACGAAACATATCGTAGCCTAGCTGTACATCACAACTAACCAACCGCCCTTTCAAGGGGGAACGAAGAGTAAATATATCAGTGTCGTTAATGTAGCCATTTAACCCACAAACTATTTTTATAAATGCACCAAACGGATCTGCTGCTTTCCATAATATAAAAATTAACAAGATTGAGTCTCGTGCGCTCTTTGCCTCTGTAAAGAAAAGAGCGTACAGTAAACAAATCGTGCAGGCGAAGGCGTTAGGAGGCAGAATATACAGTTTCATTGGCGCCATTTTCGCCGCCCTCATTTCCCAATAAAAGGTCAAGGCGCCATTGGCAAGTCTGTACTTATGAATAAAGATTTGTATTGAAAACGAAGCCTCTCGCAGTTTTCCCGTGGTTAGAGTTTGCGCGTCATGTGCGAGGGAAAGGGAGTGGTGTCAAGACATGCCTTGTTCGCGGAGCCGTTATGGCGTATAGCCAGGAGTGAAATCATTGATGGTGCATGTGCTCAACAGGGCGCCGCAATTTTTTTTTTTTGGAAGAGTTGGGGAAAAATGAACAGAAATATTTAGCACAGAACGGAATAGTCTGTTTACATTCCTACTTTTTTAAACGACAACTTTTAGAAGACTAAGTTTGCATCTAGTCATATTGTTCATTGAAGAGCAACCACTGAGAATGATTTGGTCATCTAATGAGAATGCTTGGTACCAACTGCCCCAGATAACCACGTTGCAGAAATATAATGAAAACAGGCAAGTGGAGACATCGCAAAAGATAAAACGTCATCATCGTCAAGCGCAGCCAGAAAATGAAGATTAACGTTTGCAGCGCGTTGGAAAGAACATGCAAAAGATCCTTATATCTCCCACCAATACTTCCATAAGGCTCATTGCACGTCGAACCATTCAGCCCATAAGTACTCAGATCCGCCCTTCAGTAAACCCTGTATAAATCTCTAGCGGCTAACGACACCAGTCATGTCTTGGTTCCTTATTCTCCTTTGGCGTCCCGATAGTGCAGTTGCCTGACCATACCCCCTTTAACACAGTGTTCTTACGGTCTGATTCAGTTGGAGATTCAGTCATCACTTGATTCTCGCAAACGTCTCAATTAATGGGTCATTAACACGGTTTCCCGGTAGAGGTTTGAAAAATATGTAAGAGGAAATTGTTCAGTGATCAGTTTCACTGCACACGATAAGCTACACAAGTGCTCCACACATACGCGGAGATAATCTCCTCACTGTGCATAAATGAGAATCCCGATGCAGTTAGACAAGAATTACCTTCGAAAGCAGTGATGAGCAGTCTCCACAATAAAGGTTGGCTACAGTGCACCCACTGTTTTCTTGGTATTAAATGATGAAACCCCAATCACGTTCATAGTGCGACTCTCCTACTTTCATTCATTCGTTGTTCTATTGTGCCATTCATTATATGTCACATATAGCTGGCAGTATATTTCTCTATTCCATTATATCATGTGCAATCACCTTAATAGCATGGTTGTGATCCTGTCCAGTACCTTTAGCTCCTCTCGTCACCATTCGCATTACGGTTTCTCTTGGACGTCCTGCAGGTTTCTAGAGCTCTAGAGCAATATTTTTTTTTAAAAACAGGATTGGGAAGCTCTTCTTCTTCTTCTTTTTCTGCCTTTCAATCCCCCAATGGAGCATAGGCCCTCAACCAACTCGCGCCAAGTCGTTCTATCCTTCGCTAATACATGGAGCTCTCCCCATGTCCTCCCCATCTTTCTAGCTTCATATGAACTAATAGGGGAAATAAGCTGGTAACAAACAGAGCGATGTGTTTGATTAGACGTCGGCAGCCTATGGCTCGCATACCGGGTGCGGTACTTGAAATAGTTGTCAGTGGCACGTAGAGTGATTTCTTGTTCAAAATTTGATCTCCTTGAAAATCGACATAGAAGCATATAATTATTTTAAAAAGCAAATTAATTTGTCTCAGTAATGGTTTCTACCTCCCCATCCTCCTCGATGTTGGTGTTTAGTTGGTACTTTTCCACAGTTGGAGCATTGATTTCAGGACTACCGTTGTTGCCAGAGCAAGCTTGTATGTGTGTCTTCTCAGACGTTCAGCTCTTAACCGCGCTGCAATCATTTCCTCTTTCATCCTTATTCCCTCCATGACACCCCTCCCCCGTTATCCAAAAAGTAAGGCCTTCGGTCGCGAATCTATCTCAGTACTTGTATCATTCATGTCCCAGTGTTAAAAAAAAGGTTAGTTGAGTATCCTTTACAGACGCTGCAGAACCAACCCTAACAGCCCCTGGCTGTTGTGTGGTTTCTATGGGCAATTTACGTTGAGTAGTTTGCCATTGCTTCCTGGACGGTCGGCTTTCTTGATACCAATGTCGAAACCAACGCAGGGCGCGTGGCCCGCAGCTGGTATCGAACCCGGCATTACGAAGCGTTCGCATCGACTTAGCCACAGAGCCCACTGTCCCAGTGTAACTTTCTCAAATATTGATGTATCTAATAAAATAGCCTGAGTTAGGTTGACATTGCGTGTTTTTAAACATTACTTCCGCTCCATGTTACTAAGAAGTTGATGTACCTCCGTGTGGAATGTTAATGGTTAAAAGCTAGTTGTCTATCCTTTACAGCAGAAGTTCTCAAACTCTTTCTCAACGAACGCTTACATGACAAACAGATACAGGACCAAACTTTCTGGGTCACGTGATTTGAGGGTAAAATTAACTAAGCTTCCCATATACATAAAGGAAATAATGACAAATTCATCAAACCAGTTTTTTCATCCTATTGAAGACAACTGAACATTACATGTGCACTGCTTTTCTTCTTTTCATAAGTATTCAAACCGCTTTAAAAGTAGGTGTGATGCGACTTGGGGGCTTTAAAAGGGGGGAGGGTGTGATGCGGGGGGGGGTGGGGGGGGGGGGGGGGGGGGGGGGGCTGACAGGGTACCACGGCGAAACACAGTTTGAGAACCGCTGCTTTACAGGATGTTGCAGAACCAATTTCAGCATTTATTGGCTGATGTGGTTTTTCTAGGCAAATTTTATGTTTGGTAGTTTGCCATTGCTGACTAAACGGTCAGCTCTCGGTACAACTGTCGAAACCAGCGCAAGACAAATCGTCCTCAGCTGGGATTGAACCCGGCATTACCAAGCGCCTAAGCCACAGACGCCGGCATGGTTAACGGGCCTGTTTATCAGAAATTTACCAGTTGCTGTCGAGACAATGATTTGGATATTGAATAGCTGACTTCCCGAGCAGACTGGAGATATCAGCCTCGTGTTCTGCAGCTCCCTTTAGATAGATTCAGGTTCGCATCTTGAGTCATGCAAAGGAAAAGCAAATGAGGCACAATTTTGATACGTAGTCCTCTAACGGCTGCTCTTCAGCTGTTCTTAAATTCAACATATTGAATGGAACGAACTAAGTAGGTAGAATAAACTAGATAAATGGGTAGGTAGATACACAGACGACAGAAAGATGGGATGAGAGAGGAGAGAGAGGGTACCTAGATTGATATGTGGATCAATAGAATGAACTAAGTAGGTGCAAACGAACAAACACACTTTATTTTCAAAGGGTTTAGAATTGGGCACTCAAGTCCTTCTAACATTCTGCCCTTCCAGTCCAATTCTTGCATAAATGATAAGTAGACAGAACTAGATAGATGGATGGATAGACAGACAGCTCTTTGGACGGAAAGATGAGTTGAGTGGTGAGAGAGAGAGGGAGGGGGAGAACTGACATTCACAGCCTGACATCATTCGGCAGTGAGGCAACTTGAAATGACTTACTAACATGTATAATCTCATTGATCTTTCCAGCAGGCCATGTGTATAGCCATTCACACGATGGTGTGTATCTTTTCTTCTTATTGTTGTCACTCTGGCATGGCAATCAGTGTCTGAGCTTGTTTACATGCTATTGGCTTTGGCTGTCGTAGATATCTATACGTTATCTTGTATCTCAGTGTATTCTGTATGTTTTCGTATGTTCGCTGCAGGCTTCTGTGTATGTACTATATGTTTATATGTATGAGTGTGCGTGTATGTGTATTATGCATCTTTAAATATATATTCCGGTATGTTTTATATTTCTCTATGTGTGCTATTTATTTTTCTGTGTATTGAAACTTCCGGTCTAATATAGTGGATAGACGAGCTGACTGTTTTTAGTCAGAAAGTTAATTGTTTCTGAAAATCGTTAGCCGTTATCTTTTCCTTCTTATTCGGACTTGAATTACATACTATTTTTGGGCCCAGCTACTAAAATTGAGTGCACGGTGTCATACTATGAGCTACGGATTTACTTGGAATGCTTTTTGACTGTGCCCAGCTTGGTTTATTTCGTGAACTGTTGATTCGGAAAATGGAGGCTGACTTGTTGCCACAGAACTGGTGGTGCCTTATGGGATTAATTGCATGTGCAACTGCAGATTTTTTGTAACTACTGCTTCCATCGATGATGAAGAGCCTTTCTAAAGCCGAACTTTTATGTTGGTACTTGTGACAGCAGCCTTATGAATTTAATGCGTGTGTATGCTACGGGCTTTGTCGAGACTACAGTCTACACCAGTTACTTTACAAGGGACATTGATAGGCATTGTGTGTGGTGCACAGGATTGGAACAAATATGGGGTAACCTATTTGCTGTGGTGTTACAACTACTGTTACTTTCCTTACCTTACATGTCTGCCTACATGCTATATATTTATTTTGGTTTGTTTCTTCATGAATGTCTGCGTTAAGTGACTCAATTCTTCTATATCTTCTTTCAAGATTATTGCCTTCATTGTTGTGCTGTGTGTTGTATATTACACCCTTCCTTTTTTTAAAACCGCCTACACTTTTCGGTTCTATCCCAATAATTCACCCCAAATGACGTCACGGGACAGTCCAGCATTTTCGATGAGGGTAAGATCGGATTTTCCTGCTTTCTCTGTGTCTTCCAAGGCGTTGCCAAGGTTTTGGCATGTTTCGTCTTTTGGCGCTTGTCTTCTTACGGCGGCGTCTCTACAGCCACTTGTGTTCACTCTTCATCGCCATGTATATCCTGGAATAATCGGGAGGATAGTTTTTGTGGTTTTTTTTTTTTCGCTGAGGAGGAAGAGGAGGACCTAGGCTGCATACAGTCCTTGGACCTAGGCTACCTACAATCGTGGGACCAAGGGGGCATACAGTCCGGGGACCTAGGCTACCTACAATCGTGGGACCAAGGCTGCATACAGTCCTGGGACCTAGGCTACCTACAATCGTGGGACCAAGGCTGCATACAGTCCTGGGACCTAGGCTACCTACAATCGTGGGACCAAGGCTGCATACAGTCCTGGGACCTAGGCTACCTACAATCGTGGGACCAAGGCTGCATACAGTCGTGGGACCTAGGCTACCTACAGTCCTGGGACCTAGGCTACCTACAGCCGTGAGGTGGTTTATGGTTAGGGCAAATTGTAGATGTCAATTGGCAGTTTATTTCCGATTGCACATAGAGTTAAAAAAAATGACGTCGTTGTCAGGTGTGGGCGATATCAAGTGTTTTATATTTCACGATGTGATTGCTTTTAGCGACCCCAAAACATGTACATCTGGCCCTAACCCCAACCTACCTACGTCCCACGATAGAGTGCAGCTTAGGCCCACGACTGCATGTAGCCTAGGCCCAACGACTGTATGCAGTCTAGGTCCTCCTCTAATCCCCCCCCCCCCCCACCCCACAAAAACTGCATACTCCCGATTGCACCAAAACACAGAAAATTCACACCAAAAAAATCACTGGAAGCACTGAAAACTGCACGGCAAATGAAATGCCAAATTACTAACTATATGTTTTATCTACCAACCCCTGAAATATTAGACTAGCCCGTGATCTGTGGATTTCCTGTATTTTGGGGTGAATTTTTGGGATAGAACCCTTTTTTCTAAACTGCAGCATCTATCTCTCTATCTTCTTAAAATACAAAGGGGAAATAGCAGGTTGAAAAAGCACGAGACAGACCAATGGGATGGGCGAAGATATGGGACGATCTGCTTAAGGTAGCGAAGGTTAGGCTGGTTTGACTTAAGTATGTTGATATCTAAGCTGCATCGGAGCACGGCCTTCTCTATTTATTATAATTAAAGACGGCGTTGATTGGAGTAAAACGAGCATTGGGTAAAAAAAAAGTGGGGGGGGGGGGGGGGCTAAAAAAAAAAAAAGAGGTTTTCCCTGAACCAGTCATCGCCTGTTAGTTAATCTTTCCTATTGAGCATAGGGCATAGCTCAGCATGCTTGGCAGTTGGTTGACACCTGTTGTACATCTTGGATGTTCATTGGGCCTCTGGTTGAGCCTTTCCTGATGATGGTTTTTACCCAGGGTCTCTCTTGATCCTCTCCGTTTTCTTTTTCCCCTTTCGGTTTCCATTTGAGGGCTTTATAGGCGAGTTTAGTATTTATCCATTCCGAGTGCATGGCCGATGTAATGCCAGCATGTGGGCTGGTACAATGAGAATAATTAGGGGTGTTTCCTCGGAAGTCGCTTTATATCTGCCCGAGAGGCGAGGGATCACTAGGTTGCCTACATATAAACATGATCTTTTAAACGGATGTGCACGCAGAACTCAAGTCCTGGAACAAAACCAGATTTCAGAAGTGGACCAACAACCAGAACTTTCCATCGGAGTGTACAGCTGGTGAACGCTAAGAAGAAGAAAGATCCAGTCTGTCCATTGTTAATACTTATTGGATTTTGCACTGTCGGTGTATTAAATGTTTGTAGTGTTGTATTTGTGTATTGCATTGCCATTGATTGTTGCAACGTTCCTTGGTGTCTCTGTACGCTTGATGTTTCTGGCACTATTCACTGGTTATATATTTGTGTAGTATTATGCTAATTACCACCCTGAATATAGACATGTTTGAATAATGGCATAAGATGGATAGTTTATCCACGTCGTATGTGCAAGATGTGTCCCCAGTTGATAGACATTTATAGTTTTGTTTATGTTAGCATAATCACATCAATAATTGCAACCGAAGCCAGCACAGTATACTTAACAATTTTGACTGTCATCGTCATTACATTGCAAGGCGTTTACAGAACCTCTTTTTCATCACAACAACCCGGCGAACATATTCTCGATCCTTCGCCAACTCTTCAACCCCCTGCGTGTTTCTTATAAGGATGTCTGTAATGTTTTATCCATAGGATCATGTTGATCAACAATAATTTTATATCAAAGCACTGTTTCTCAGCTGTAAAACTGAACAAAGAAGTCACAAACAATAGATTAAGCAATTTATTAAATGCCATATTTATCTCTACCTAGTGAGGTGAATACTTGAATAACAATCGAATATAATGAAGCAGAGCGGCGTCCGTAGCTTAGGCGTTGCGAGTCCGACTCGTAATTCCAACGTACCGCGATCGAAACCCACTGCTGGCTACGTGGATTTTTTTCTTGGTACGGGGCGTCGCAGGTCGACCCAGCCTAAAATGGGTACCAGGATGACTGTCCTGTGAAAGTAGAGACGGCTGGCGTAATGCTGACCACATTACCCACCTAGTGCCGATGGTCTGAAAAATATGGGCGCTCTTCCCATATACACGAAGCGCCCAAAGACGTGAAAGGGGATCTTTACTTTACTTTACGTATAATTGAGCAGATGAATTAATCCTATAACCGTTGTTTTATACTTTTAATGAGCTGTTGATATATGGGTATAGGGTGAGTCTGTAAAACTTCAGGACTCATTGTCTAACACCTCTTTTTATGGGGGCATACTGTGAATCTGTATAGCTTCATGCTGTTTATGGGGGCATACTGTGAATCTGTATAGCTTCATGCTGTTTATGGGGGCATACTGTGAATCTGTATAGCTTCATGTTGGTGTAGTTATTGACAATTTTCTGTTGATGCGTAAAATGAAGTTCAAACTTGAGAGATGCATGACATCTTACAATCGTAGAAACCAATATAATGTAGGTTATCTTCTGGAAAAAGAAGCTTAAGAACAGTTTTAGTTTCTGACCTTAATAATTGCCACGTACAACTAGTTCTGACAGAGGGGGTCACCACACGAACTGTTTGTGATAAAAGACAGCATAGATGTTTTATCTTCGGAGCTGTCGGTTAACGTATGGTGAGTTGGTTGGTACTCATAGAGTTAAAAGCGTTTTAGATAATTGTCTGGGACATTCAACTAGTAATTCGAAGACCAGAAGTATGTCCATGTCTTTTATTCCACAACTGGACTTCCGTATTTGTCATCGGAAATGCAGTTAGTTACTTAAGTACGTCCAACAGATACGTTTTAATAAACATTAGCTGTGGCAAGAAACACTAGAATAGGCGAGCCGATGATGACCATTAACTATACCTCCCGTTCTAGTGTTGAAATACTGTACACGTCTTTGGCAGTTAGAGTTCAGCCAAAATAAGCGTTCACATTGATTGGCTATGAATACACAGAGAAGAGTCGTGGTCAGCGGTGGTGTTAGTCATTCTTGACCAGTCTGGCCTTCGAACGTTGCCTTTGTTTTCCCATCACTCACGCCGGGATCGTGCATTCATCGCCAAGTTCACGTCCTCCATGTGCCGAATATAGCAGTTGTAATGGCGTCCAATCGCACGTACCATCAGCCCGGGGCTCACCACTGGCCAGGTTTCCGGTGACTGCAGATGGCGGTAACTCTTGGACTTAAGTTGAGATTTCCTGCCGCTTTAAAGAATCGGTCAAATATGGCGTCCTGAGTCTTTGGCTATTTTCATAATTAATAGCCTGTCGCCTTTCTGTTACGCAGACGTGTAGTTTGTTTTAATGTCAGTTAGCGCAAATACTATACGTTTGTCTGCTTACCGATCCAAAGGTTTTGGGT